CGGTAGATCCTGAGAGAGCGGCGGGATGTCCCCTTCTGCTGCTTGTACAAGCAATTGAGTGGCTAGTAGCTGTTCTGGTCGCTTGTACAAGAGAGCCGACCGTTGGCTTTAAAAAACTGAACTGGAGGTGACGCATGCAGCTGCAGGCATCACTCCAATACAACCACCAGAAGTCCAGCAAAGTACGGGTACGTTGCTGGTCCGCAAGTGGCTAAAAAGGTGCAAGGACCTTTTTTTTTTTTCCCGCATGGTCCACAGGCACAGCAGCCCATTCAAACCAATAGTCTGTTGTGCCCATGCAAACATAGCACGCAGAGCCACTTAGGTGTGGACCTATCCCAAGGCTGGACATACATTATACAATTTTCCTGAGATTTTTGGTTTATATTTACCAAAAACCATATAATAGGAGGTCAAAACTAACAACACTTTCAGTTGTATCCAATTAGGAAGGCCCTTGCACTACATAATTGAAGGTAAATCTAAAGGAAATTGTACAGAAAATTGTATAGTGTATGGGCAGCCTTAGGGAGGGTTATAATCCCTGTCAGGTTTTTCTCTGCCACCTGGGTCCCATTGGAGAGATTTCTCTTCACTTCCTGTCCTATAGTCAAAACAGGGAGTGAGAGGAAATCCCTCTAAAGTGAGGAAATCTCTGGTGTCCCCCCATCACCAGAACTAGTGTCCCCCATCACCAGAACTAGTGTCCCCCATCACCAGAACTAGTGTCCCCCCATCACCAGAACTAGTGTCCCCCATCACCAGAACTAGTGTCACCCATCACCAGAACTAGTGTCCCCATTGGAAGATCTGCTGATCAGGGGATCCTGACATCGCACAGCGATCTGCTGATCAGGGGACCCCGACATCGCACAGCGATCTGCTGATCAGGGGACCCCGACATCGCACAGCGATCTGCTGATCAGGGGACCCCGACATCGCACAGCGATCTGCTGATCAGGGGACCCCGACATCGCACAGCGATCTGCTGATCAGGGGACCCCGACATCGCACAGCGATCTGCTGATCAGGGGACCCCGACATCGCACAGCGATCTGCTGATCAGGGGACCCCGACATCGCACAGCGATCTGCTGATCAGGGGACCCCGACATCGCACAGCGATCTGCTGATCAGGGGACCCCGACATCGCACAGCGATCTGCTGATCAGGGGACCCCGACATCGCACAGCGATCTGCTGATCAGGGGACCCCGACATCGCACAGCGATCTGCTGATCAGGGGACCCCGACATCGCACAGCGATCTGCTGATCAGGGGACCCCGACATCGCACAGCGATCTGCTGATCAGGGGACCCCGACATCGCACAGCGATCTGCTGATCAGGGGACCCCGACATCGCACAGCGATCTGCTGATCAGGGGACCCCGACATCGCACAGCGATCTGCTGATCAGGGGACCCCGACATCGCACAGCGATCTGCTGATCAGGGGACCCCGACATCGCACAGCGATCTGCTGATCAGGGGACCCCGACATCGCACAGCGATCTGCTGATCAGGGGACCCCGACATCGCACAGCGATCTGCTGATCAGGGGACCCCGACATCGCACAGCGATCTGCTGATCAGGGGACCCCGACATCGCACAGCGATCTGCTGATCAGGGGACCCCCCGACATCGCACAGCGATCTGCTGATCAGGGGACCCCGACATCGCACAGCGATCTGCTGATCAGGGGACCCCGACATCGCACAGCGATCTGCTGATCAGGGGACCCCGACATCGCACAGCGATCTGCTGATCAGGGGACCCCGACATCGCACAGCGATCTGCTGATCAGGGGACCCCGACATCGCACAGCGATCTGCTGATCAGGGGACCCCGACATCGCACAGCGATCTGCTGATCAGGGGACCCCGACATCGCACAGCGATCTGCTGATCAGGGGACCCCGACATCGCACAGCGATCTGCTGATCAGGGGACCCCGACATCGCACAGCGATCTGCTGATCAGGGGACCCCGACATCGCACAGCGATCTGCTGATCACGGGACCCCGACATCGCACAGCGATCTGCTGATCACGGGACCCCGACATCGCACAGCGATCTGCTGATCACGGGACCCCGACATCGCACAGCGATCTGCTGATCACGGGATCCTGACATCGCACAGCGATCTGCTGATCACGGGATCCTGACATCGCACAGCGATCTGCTGATCACGGGATCCTGACATCGCACAGCGATCTGCTGATCAGGGGACCCTGACATCGCACAGCAATCTGCTAATCACGGGTGTAAAACTTTACAGGCACCTAAGAAACATAAATAAATGTATTTTTTTTATTTACCTGCAAAACGGTGCATTCAGGCTGTTTTCACACTTATCTGTTTTCCTTCTGCTCTTGTGTTAAAAAAAGCAGAAGAAAAAAAAAAAAAAAAAACACACGACCATGAAATCCTATGGAACGCTCCACAATGACCAGTTGCAAGTCTGTTGCATTTTGTAAAACCCTGCTTGCGTCATTTTTTTTCCTGCATGTTTGGTGTGGTAAAATAAAAAACTCACCTCCCCATTGAAATTAAGCCACATCAAAAAAGTTGGCTGCGTTTTTGGAGCCATTTTTGAGCCACTTTTTTTCACAGGTGCAATACGCACTGCGAAGATGTTAGAACGTGTTTTTACAACGAAAAAGTGTCAAAGCAGCCATTTTTTTTTTTTTTTTTTTTTAAAAGGTAAACTTATCCCTTAAAAAAAAAAAAAAAAAGAAAAAAAACCAAAAGAAAAAAAAAAGTTTATATATTAATAGTGAATATAAAATTTAAAACTGAAATAAGTTCCAGTAAATTTATTAATTGGGGGGGGGGGGGGGCTAGGGTAAACTAAGGGTTTATAAAGGGTTAAACAGACAAATTTTATTTTTAAAAAATGTTTTTAGTCAGACTGCTTTAGGGTCGGTTCACGCCATAGAAACAGTGCAGATGCAGATTTCTGTATGCACGTTCCAGTGTGTTTTTTCCCCCTCTCTTTTTCTTCAATGTAAATAGGGACATGTGCCTTACAGTGCGTTTTACTGCATTCCACTAGTTCTGTACAGGAAAAATGCAGTCTGTTCTACTTTTTTTTCTGCACCCGGAACGCACTGGAACTGCAAGCACTGATGTGAACTATGACATTGACAACCATATAACCTACTTTCTGTGCATTTTGGATGCAAAAAAAAAAGTACAGTTAAATGCATGTAGTGTGAACTGGCCCCAAGGACCTCAAAAAAACGCACTCTAGATGCAATCCAGATATGTTTTTGTTTACAGTTCACACCACACTCTGTTCCAGTGCAGTTTTGATGCAGTTTGCCATGTTCCAGTACAGTCTTGTGCAGACAAAAAATGCAGCATGTTCTACTTTTTTTTTCTGCACCGGAAACTGACAGGAACTGACTGCACTGGTGTGAACTAGGGCTACTGGAATACATGGAAAACACTGTGCATGCATTTTTTATGCAGAAAAAAAAAAAAAGCTCACTGGACTGCATCTGGTGTAAACTAGTTCTTTAAGGGCCAGTTCACACTACATACGTTTCAGTGTGCACAGCAGTGCTTGCAGTTTCAGTGTGTTCCGGATGCAGTGACAAAAAAAAAAAAAAAGTTAGAACATGCTGCATTTTTCCTGTACAGAACTGTACTGAAATGCGGTAAAATGCATCAAAATGACCCTATTTAAACTGAAGAAAAAGAGAGGGGAAAACATGAACTGGAATGCATCACAAACGTACCAGAATGTGCCAAAAACGCATTAAAACCATGAATGCGGAAACGTGTCCGGAACGCATCTGGACTGCATTTCTATAGTGTGAACTGGTCCTTAAAGTATAACTAAAAGGCAAAACTTTTTTTTTTTTGGATAGAGTAGAGATGGATTAGAACCCCTGTCAGTTTTTTATTGCTATCTGTGCCCCTAGGTTCACATCTGTGCGGGTGGTGCCGCTGCGGATCACCACGATCCGTGCAGCCGCACCACCCGCACAGAGAAATACGGACCCGCGGGTGGGTGCCATTAGTTCTAATGGCATGCCGCCCGCACTGGAAAGTGCAACCGTACTGGGAACCGAGGTTCCCGTGCGGACTGCAGTTTCCAAAGAAGTGCAGGGACTTCTTTCCTGTGTGTCACAGTGCACGGGAGTCCATTCAAATGAATGGGCTCTCGTGCAAAACGCGACCCGCACGGCCGCATAGATGTGAACTGGGGGGGGTTAGGGAAGATTCACCCTCTCTACTTGTCCTGTTTACCATCCTCATTGAAAGTAAAAGAAAATCGCACATTTTGGGTTGTCCCCAGAAAAGTAATGGAGGGGAAATCTTTCAATGGGGACACTAACTCTGATGACTTGGGGGGGGGGTCCCTAAGGAATTCCCTTAATTTATAGAGATTTCTCTTCCTGTTGGACTATGGGATGGGAAGTGAAGGGAAATCTCTGCAATGGGACACAGATGCAAAAAAAAAAACAAAAAAATCTGGCAGGAGTTATAACCTTTCCTTGCTCTATCCAAAATGAAGAAAAAAAAAAAAAGTTTTGCCTGGAGTTCTACTTTAGCTGACATATACAGGCGGAAGCTTATCCCTCAGCTCTGCAGATGAAGGGAAGAGAATAGATACAAAAGTAACAATGTAACTTTATATCCATCTCATAATTGAAGAATGTTTGTAAACATTGATACTTTGTATCTCTCTACTTCCTGTCTACACATTGTTGGTAAACACAGAGGAGTCACATGGGGTTCTGTTGACAGCAGCAGAGGCTGGATCTGTATGAATGTACACAGCAAGCCCTGGCTTCATTTTCACAGCCAAAAATGAATCGCTATCGGAAGGGGGGAGGGGGGATGCAGCAGAAAAGAGGACACATTACCCACAGCTTGGGGTTGATTTACTAAAACTGGTGCAGCTGTGCATGGGAGCCAATCAGCTCCTAACTTCAGCTTGTTCAATTAAACTTTGACAAAAAAAAAAAGAAAGCCGATTGGTTAGGCACAGGGGTGGACTGATCATTTGGAAACTCAGGCACTGCCCGAGGTCCCGGGGTCAGTAGGGGGCCCCATGAGATGCCCCTGGTACCTTTTTCATAGGCTTTTTTGAGTTTGGGCAAGGACACAGGGGCCCCATGATCCCCTATTGCCCGGGGGCCCCATGAGTTGTCAGTCCGCCCCTGGTTAGGCGTTAAAAACGTGGAAGAAAAACATATGACCATTAAATCCTATGGAAGTCTTCACACTGCTCAGTTGCGAGTCTGATGTGTTTTTCAAAGCCCTGCAAGCTGCATTTTTATATGCGGTAAAAAAAAAAAAAGTGGCAAAAACGCACCTTTGCATTGAAATGAATGGAAAATGCAGCAAAAAAAAGCATTAAAAACGCACCTGTGGCTGCATTTTGGTGCTTTTTCGAGTCGCGTCATTTTTATCACAGGTGCAAAATGCACCAAAAATGCATAGAACTGTGTTTTTGCAACTGAGCAGTGTGACCCCGGTTCACATCCATGCAGCCGTGCGGGCTGCGTTTTGCGTGGGCACGAGAGCCCATTCATTTGAATGGACTCCTGTGCCCGTGACACCCAGAGAAGAAGTCCCTGCACTTCTGAAACCGCAGCCCGCATGGGAACCTCGGTTCCCAGTACGGTTGCGTTTTCCAGTGCGGGCGACGTGCCATTAGAACTAATAGCACCCGCGGGTCCGCATTTCTCTCTGTGGGTGGTGCGGCTGCATGGATTTTTGTGTGGATCCGCAGCGGCACCACCAGCACAGATGTGAACCGGGGGGTGAAAGTAGCCGTACCATGCAGAGCTGCACAATATTCAGCACAATAATCAACCCCCTGTGAGCTTTGATGAGGTTTGTGGGCATGTGTAGCACATCCAGTGTCCTTGACTGGTTAACCTAAACAACTATAGGCAACCCCCCCCCCCCCCCCCCCCCTCCATTCTGGATAGAGTCTAGGGAGGGCTATAACCCGTCAGGTTGGTTTGCCATCTGTGTGCCATTGGGGAGTTTTCCCTTCACTTCCTGTCCTTTAACCAAAACAGGAAGTGAGAAGACATCTTTCCAAAGCGAGTTGTCATCAGACCTAGTGTTCCCAGTGGAAGTTGTCCCCTCTATTTCTGTTGGTGACAACCCCCACACTTATTTTTTTAGCTGTGGATAGAGTGCAGAAGGATTTGAACCGCTAGCGGGTTTCTATGGCTGTCTGCTCTCTCCATTAGGGACATTACCCCTCTTTGTTTGTCCTGTTTACCTTTACCACCAAGAATGAAAGTAAATCCCAAATTTTAGGTTGTCACCAGAACTGGAATAGAGGGGAGATCTTCCAATGGGGACATCCGTTCTGGTGAGAACTCACTTTGGAAGGATTGCCCCTCGCTTCCTGTTTTGGTTATAGAATTGGAAGTGAAGGGAGATCTTCAAATGGGGACATTAGTTCTGGTGACAACTCACTTTGGAGGGATTGCCCCTCACTTCCTGTTTTGGTTATAGAGCAGAAAGTGAAGGGAGATCTTTCAATGGGGACATCAGTTCTGGTGACAACTCACTTTGGAGGGATTGCCCCTCGCTTCCTGTTTTGGCTATAGAACAGGAAGTGAAGGGAGATCTTTCAATGGGAACAACAGTTCTGGTGACAACTCACTTTGGAGGGATTGCTCCTTACTTCCTATTTTGGTTATAGAATAGGAAGTGAAGGGAGATCTTCAAATGGGGACATTAGTTCTGGTGACAACTCACTTTGGAGGGATTGCCCCTCGCTTCCTGTTTTGGTTATAGAACAGGAAGTGATGGGAGATCTTCCAATGGGGACATCAGTTCTGGTGACAACTCACTTTGGAGGGATTGCCCCTCGCTTCCTGTTTTGGTTATAGAACAGGAAGTGATGGGAGATCTTCCAATGGGGACATCAATTCTGGTGACAACTCACTTTGGAGGGATTGCCCCTTACTTCCTGTTTTGGTTATAGAGCGGAAAGTGAAGGGAGATCTTCCAATGGGGACATCAGTTCTGGTGACAACTCACTTTGGAGGAATTGCCCCTCACTTCCTGTTTTGGTTATAGAGTGGAAAGTGAAGGGAGATCTTTCAATGGGGACATCAGTTCTGGTGACAACTCACTTTGGAGGGATTGCCCCTCACTTCCTGTTTTGGTTAAAGAACAGGAAATGAAGGGAAATCTCCCCAATGGGACACAAATTGGAGGGGAACTGTCGTGGGTTATGACCCTCCATTACTCTATCCAATAAGAAAAGGCAGTTTTGCCTAGAGTTCTACTTTATATTGTATCTGTAGTCAGAGAAGATCCAAATCACACAACGATTGGGGGTAATCACCCCTTCTCCAGATCATAGGAACTACAAGTCCCAGGATGTCCTGGCCGTCTCAGGCTGGCAGGGAAGACTGGGAACATGCTGAGGAGATGCAGCCTGAGCTCTTAAGCTGTGGTGGGACTACAACTCCCAGCATGCCCTGCTAGCTTCCCTCACAGGCTGAGCCTTATAGTCCCCCCACAGTTGGTGAAGCCTGGCTCCTCCAGTCAGACACAGCCTAGGGGGGTGACATGGAGCAGGACCCCAGCCAGGCCTCACTGCAGCTCAACACTGACAACAAAGCCCCCTCCCCCACCCTACCTCACCTCAGGCCTGCAGCACTCACCAGCTCCTTGGCCTTTTCCATCAGACCCTCATTGGGCTCCTCTGTACGCTCTCCCGGCCCCTCAGCCTCCCGCACACGGCAACGTGATCCCAGCTCAGCCTGAAAACAATGAACTCCAGCACAACATCAACAAAACCAGCAGCTTCCCGCCTCTGCGCCTGCGCGCCCCGAGGCTGGTCATTGGCGCCTGTCAGTCGCGCTCCACCCACTTCCGGCGGAAGGCTGGCAGGGCTTGAAGTAAAAGGGCGGGAAGAAGGCGCAGTGGGGCGGAAGTTGATCAGACATTGGCTTTAAAAAAATTAAACGTCGGGCTGCAGACTGGAGCTCCACTTTCAACAGGAAACACGTGACTTCCACTATCGCAGCCATTGGTTGTTTGTTACATTAAAGGAGAGGGGTCTGGCTGTAGTCTGGAGCTCTACGTTCAACAGGAAGCATGTGACCTCCGCTGTCTGCATCTATTGGCTATTATAATAAAGGAGAGGGGGTCTGGCCGCAGACTGGAGCTCCACTTTCACTAGGAAACATGTGACCTCGACTATCTACAGCCATTGATTGGTTGTTACATTAAAGGAGAGGGGTCTGGCTGGAGCTCCGCGTTCAACATGAAACATGTGACCTCCCCTGAATGCAGCCATTGGCTGTTATGTTAAAGGAGAGGGGGTCTGGCTGCAGATTGGAGCTCTACTTTCAACAGGAAACATGTGACCTCCATTGGCTGCAGCCATTGTCTGTTATGTTAAAAGAGAGGGGGTCTGGCTGCAGACTGGAGCTCCACTTTCAATAGGAAACATGTGACCTCCACTATCGCAGCCATTGGTTGTTTGTTACATTGAAGGAGAGGGGTCTGGCTGTAGTCTGGAGCTCCATGTGCAACAGGAAACGTGACCTCCCCTGTCTGCAGCCATTGGTTGTTATGTTAAAGGAGAGGGGGTCTGGCTGCAGATTGGAGCTCTACTTTCAACAGGAAACGTGACCTCCATTGTCTGCAGCCATTGGTTGTTTGTTACATTAAAGTAGAACTCTAGGCAAAACTTTTTTTTGTGTTCCATTGTGGAGATTTCCCTTTACTTTCTGTCCCATAGCCAAACAGGAAGTGGGAGGAAATCTCTGCAAATTAAGGGAATTTCTTGGGGACCCCTAGAACTAGTGTCCCCATTGGAAGATTTCCCCTCTATTACCTTTCTGGGGACAACCCAAAATTTGGGATTTTCTTTTACTTTCACTTTTTATGTTAATGGTAAACAGGACAAATAGGGTGAATCTCCCAAATAGGAAATTCTGAAGGACCCTCACTGGTAAATACCCTTTCAAGCAGACTATGCAATAAATAGGGATATTTTGTTCACACATATTACAATACATGCTTAAACTGGACAACTGCGTCAAAGTAATCCCTCTCTGGCCAGTCCCTACTCTGCTCTGCCTACGTAAATGCTACTGTGGACACAATGCTAACATAGGGGAAAAGACACAATGGGGAGAGCTACAAGGTTCAGGTCTGGCTACTGACCCAACAATACAACAAACAAGAGATCCCTGTGCTCAAATCCCAACAGCTAGTGCATGCATTTATCCATCAGGTGCTAAAGGGGTGTAACCACATATTAACACTAGAAATTCTGAGGACCCTCTGCACACTGGTATATACCCTTTCAAGCAGACTATGCAATAAATAGGGATATTTAGTCCACACATATTGCAATACATGCTTAAGCTGGCCAACTATATGTGGTTACACCCCTTTAGCACCTGATGGATAAATGCATGCACTAGCTGTTGGGAGCTGAGCACAGGGATCTCCCAAATTGGGGCACAGACCTTAACCTCCCTGGCGGTCTGATTATTTCAGATTTTTGGTGCTGAAAGCGGTACCATTTTTTTGCATGGAAATATGTAGTTTTTTTATTGTAGGTCTGTAATTTAGGAATAATTCACTGAAATCTGTCCGAACAAGAGTCTAGTAAACATCTCGAGTATGATAAAACTTGAAACACGAAATCATAAATTATAATTTAATAATCATAAAAAATAATAACATAATAATAATACATTTAATTCAATAATAAAAATCAAACCAAAAACACTGAAATTTGAAATATAGCGCCAAGTTCGCACATCGCTGAGCAAAGTCACAGAATCGTATTCAGTGTCTGATGACGAATTTCCCCTACGAATCATTATCACTCAATTCTGCAAGTGGTTCTGATTTACTATCGCTGTTCTCTAGCCGGTCTAAAACCGCTTTTGACCTAAAGAGACGCTTTTTGGATGCCATGGACGTTTCTCAGTTTCCAGGCAGAAAGAACAGTCAAAATGCAGGCAGGGCACAGGACAAAGCACTCGGGACAAAATGTATGTGAAATGGTTTGAAACAGCAATGTTTTACTATGTAATAATCGTTTTTTAATAAAAGTCATTTTTTAAAATTTTTAAATTTGCCGCCGGGACCGGAACACGGAAGCCGGATGCCGGCATCGGCCGGAGATGCTGCAGGGGACGCATCACGGGAGTGA